TATTTTTATAATTATTTTTTTTGCTTCTTCTTAAATTAAACTTTCATCTTTTCCAAAAAGGAGATGATTGGAACAAAATTAAAATAAAAATAAAAAATCATATATTTTTGACAAAATACGCCCAATTGCTGCAAAAATATGTTTTTTCTCAGAGTTTTCAAAGAATAAGAAAAACGAATACCTTTAAGCTCTCTGATTTTTTTTAAAAAAATTTATTATTATAATATATAAAAATAATGCGAAAATTATTTAAAAAGACGAATCCAAAAAAAATTTTTTTTATTAAAAAATGAGATAATAAAATTACATTTTACACCTTGCATAATAAATTAAAGAATTATAAGTCATGATAACGAGTTTGACAGCTTAAAATAAGTTTATCTAATTTTTTTGTGATTTTTATACAAAAGTAGAAAAGAAGGATTTTAGATGAAAAATTAATATTCTTCGTAGTTAAATTTTTGTTATTAAGCGAAAAAAATTGTATAATAAGTATAAATCTAAATTTAAATGAGAGATAAAAAAACACAAACCTTTAAGCTATACGGAACAAATTTTTTACGAAAAAAAAATATGTCTAAATTTATATAAGATGAGAAATATTGTATAGTATAACAACAAATTTTTTATTTGTTCCCATTTAGGAAAATTTTTTTAACGAATTAGTTATGTTCCGAGGAAGAATGAATCATGATATCGATTCTTATATACAAAAAAAGAGAGATTTAGAAAGTATCTTTATATAAAAATACGCCTTAGATACATATTACCAATATAACCGGTATCTTTTAAATTTCTTAATCATCCTTTTTTTTTGTGTGGAGAGAAACGTAATCGTGTTTCAGGGATCGGTAGTCTAAATACTTCTGTAAGAAGGGCGGAAAAAATGGAGATTTTATTATTATTTTTTTTATTACAACAATTAGAAGATCATGCTAAATTTTAACTTCTAGAGAAAATTAAATTAGAGAACAGACATACGAGTTCGAGATTGTAGAGAGTTTTTGGTAAAAAAAAATATTCTAAGCACCATATTTTCCACAAAATCACAGACGTAACCAGGATTTTCCTAAGAGAAGGCGGAGAAATTTTGGGTTGCTTCCACTCCCAGTAATTTTTATTGGATCATTTTAGGCTTTCTACTTTAACATCAAGTTGATTTAGGTTAGGGTTTAGAATACTTTTTTTTTAGAAAATTTATTAAAATTGAAAAAAATAATATATATATATCAGAGATCTACCCGAACCCGGGCCGGGCCGAAAATAATTTTTAAAAAAAACCGGTCCGGGCCGAAAATAATTTTAAAAAAAATCCGGGTCCGGGCCGAATAAAATTTTTAAAAAAAATCCGGGCCGGGCTGTACAAATGGTTCCTCTGCTGGTCTCTGATATATATATATATAAGTGCTATAATTAAAAGGATTTAAAAGAAACTAAAATTTAAACAGGAATGTTTAATCTATTTATAGATTTTATAATTTTGTTCCCAATAGGGAACCATTGTCGTTAAGATATTTTTTTTTATAAAAATTTTTTGGATGTGACTAAGAGGAATTGAAGAAAAATGTCGAGATCTTTATAGATTTTTTAAAATTGATTTTGGTTTGAAAATTTTTTAAAAATAATTTTCTAATAATTATTTTTTTTAAAAAAAAATTATTAACTATTATAATTTGTTTATTTTTTAAAACATAATTGTTCAAAGAAGTAAAAAAAAAACGTGTAAATATAAAATGTTTGTTAAAGAATGACTGTTGAAAAGTAACGGTTATTGTTTATTAAGCTACTTTCATAAAAAGAAGTAACTATATAAGTATCGTTGTAAAAACGGCTAACTCCATAATTTAGCCAGAAAAATATAGCCTACGCCTTGAGATTTCACTACTAGATGTCCAAACCTTTGTGACCATCTACGAGCGAAATATTCAGGGTTTGCGCTGAATGATATATATAGTTAGCCATTTTTAAAAATAGGGTCAAATGCTGGTAAGTTACTTTTTATAAACATATCAGTGTCTACATGAGCCGGGGGGGGGGGGGTAGGAACAGTTTGCATCCTAATATCTATAAATGGGTATGGGGTAGAGGGTAGGGGGTAGGCATTTGGGGGGGGGGGTAGGCTATAATAATCTAGAAAATTTTACATTACATCTTTAAATTATCTATGGATAACATTTTGGTATTTTTAGGGGGGGGGGGTAGATGTAGATTTTTTAGGGGGGTTTGCATCCAGTGAATATACTGTCACGTAGACGCTGGATGATATATATAAAAACATTTTCGGAATATTTTTTTTATTAATTATTATACCAAGATAATTCTTAATTATTTAACAAATTTTGTTCAAAGGGAATTTAAAGAAAAAAAAATACAATTTGAAAATTAAGAAATATAATTTGCAAACCAAATAAAATTTTTTATCATAATATTTAATTCTCTTGAAATATCCGAATATCTTTACATCACAGAAAACATATATTAATTTATTGATTGACTGCCTAACTGACAATTCTTCACGTCAATCACAACAATTTGTACCGCCAAAAATATAAGCAATTATATAAGATTTATATTTCACCAACAACAATATTTTTTTATTTTACTTTGAAAATTTCAAAATTGGTGTCTAAGAAAAAAAGGGGGTGTTTAGTGTTTCATCCAATATAATTAAATAAAATATATAATATTTTAAAAATTAAACTAAAATAAACCGGCAGGGGTGGAGACTGAGAGAAAACGCCCCATGGGGCGAAAGTTCAAGGGGAGGGGCATTTTTGATTTTTTTTTAAAACCTTTAAATTTTTATATTGTTTATTGAGTTTACAATTGGATATAAATTCCCTTCATTTTTATTGATTTTTTTTTAAACTTTATAATGATAATGAATGATGAGTTAAACAAAGATCAAGAATTTCCTCATAATTCATAATTCGCGTTCAACTGACAATCATTAAAAAGACTTCTATCTAACCTAGATTATTTGGCCATTGTTAATAACTCATTTGTGTAAAAGTTAATGTAAGAAAATATTTATCAATTTTGCGCGGATGCATGTGTTTGCTTGCACTTTGTTTTGCAATTTGGCTAGTGATTCTTTCACTTACTATTTCATAAAACCTTTAAATTATTTTTATCATCAATCTCTGTTCTGGATATGTCGTTAATACTATGAATAATCAAGTCATATGAAATTTGTTATTTTCGTAGTTCATCCGCTATCTACTTTCAGTAACAAAGCAAAGCCTATTCAGTTGTATCTTTGTTAATTCTAACAAATGGTTTATGATAGAAATATTGGGCATCCGAAACTGATTATTATATCTGATCAATAATATCTTCGAATACCTCAATTCGGTAGATTTGAAGTGCATTATTTGGGCATAGATCGGAAATTCCTCAGGGATTTTTTTTCTAGGGGTAGCTACAGAAGAGTGTTTCCATTCCATAAAATGTATATTCGGGTATCATTCAATAAACAAAGTTATTATTAATAATATTTGCCATTAGATAGCTTTCATATGCATTAAAAGGATATTTTTTAAACTCACAGAAGATTTACCATCTTCAACTATTTTCCACACTTGTTAGGATTACTAAATTTTATGTTTGTAAATCTTTTCATAGGGTCCAATTATTTCAAAAAGATTTGAGCCGTTTTTAATGTTTTATTTGCTTCTGATTTCAAAGTTGTTTTTAATTCAAAAGAATTTTTGCTATGCATATATAATTGAGATACTTATATTATTCGGTATTAGCACATTCTTGTAATTAATCCAAAAATGCCTACTCACGTGCCTATTATCTTATTTTACCATTTTTTTATGAAGTCTTTTAAATTTTCTGAAGCTTTAACCTGGCATTCATATCTTTTCGTCCACATCTACCCTTTATATAATTCATTTTAAATAAGTGACTTGTGCGATAAGTGAGATTCTTCTCAGGATTGAGAATGTATCAAATGCATAAATTGATATATAACACCATATAAAAATACCACCCGATAAAGAATGCTTAATTTGAGCTTGCAAACCAACAAATTTACTTGGCATCTTTGCTGCTCCGTCAAACAATTCTCCAACTATAATAATTTGCAATCAATAATAGTCCGACCTAGTGTAAAATACCAAAAATAATAGTTTTACTTGGATGCATTTTAAAAATTTGTCGTTGCAGCTAAAAAAATAAATTGTCGTCCTACATTGTTTCATATCACTTGCACTGTACAGAGATATACAAATTTTTAAAAATCAAGCTTATTCACCACACCAAGTATACAAGTAATAAACACAATTACATGAAAGAAAATTTTATACCAGCTATAAATACATCATTTTTAACCTAGCCAAACTTCTTAAATATATTTTTTCATCATTTTGTAATCGATTTATATGTTAATATAATCTAATTATCAAATCATCATGAATTAAATATGCACTTATATGAATTTGTATAATAATGTATACAACCTCTCTAATTTAATGGTTCTGGGGCTAAAATTAAAGAGGGAAAAAATCAAATTAAAATAAATATTAATAAAAAATATGGTGTGATAATTAGCAGGAAATTTTATAATCCTTCATATTGTGCTCAAGAGAAAATATACTTTGGTAATTGTTTTCAAGCGCAAATATATATTTTTTAACTTTAATGCATGAATTTTAAATTTAACCTAAAAGTTAAGGGGGCCAATTTTAAGATGGATCCGGAGATGATGATAATCATAATTTATTTTTTTTATAGTATTAGCAATAATTGATTTTTAAAATATTCATTTATGTATCAAATAACTACTAGTATTATAATAAGGCTATTTGAAGATTATATCAGCCATTGATATATTAATTAGACACAATGATGTCAAATTATTAAAATATAGATAATAAGCTAAATTTTGTTTATTGATTTGATCAAGAATTTGGTCATCGGGTTTAAAAATAATTTTATAAAACATATTTCTTGCCTGATAAATAAAACATTTCCATTCGTTCACTAAGATAATATTCAAAAAAAATTAAAAAAAAATGACTTTTAGTAGTCTATCAAATATAGATTATCTAGTTATATTATTTTTTCTAATTATAACGTGCAGTATTGGAATATATTATGCCTGGAAGGATAGACATTCTTTAAAATTAGATAATGCTTTTGTTGGAAATAGGTTAGTATATTTACCAATTTATAACAACAGGTTTTATATCGTATAATAAATGTTTTATTAGATTGGACAAATTTATTTGCAGCATATAAATTACAAATTATACTAAGCTATTTTTCATAAATAGTGGTTTATAAATAATTATAGTTTTATTTTTTTAACTAAAAAATTAATATAATATCATGGTAAAATTAAATTAAATGAGTGAATTATGAATTAAAGGAAATCCAAATTGAGTAAAATATTTAGATTAATAAAAAGTAATTTTAGTAGGCAGGCATAGAAATAGGGGAAGAGTATATTTAAAAACGAGAAGCTTTATTTATATTTTTATAATAAGGGTTTAAGTTATGAGTTTAGTGATATAGTAAACTTTTCAAAATTTGTATTTTCAAATTTTTTAAGGGGTTATTTTAAATTTTGATGGGGCTCGAGCTCACAATAACACTTCATTAGTGACACCTCTGCAGGATAAATTTGTGAACCAAGTTTGGGTTTGATACCTCTACAAAATAATAAAGATAGTTATAATTTACTTAAATAGCATAAACACTAATTTTGTATACCTGATGTTATTATGATCATCATAAAATGAATTTTTCTTAATAAAATACGGCAATTTAAATAAAATTATATTTATATTTTAAAAATAATATTTTACAAATAAATATATTAATAAAATAAAAATTATTTCACAAGTTCTTATTATCTGAACCTTACTGTTCCGAGTTCAGGAAAAATTACATTTTTGGCCATGTTTTATATAATTTTGCCATGAATTTAAAAATAAAAGAAAATAATTTATACTTAAAAAATTACTATCAAATTTTTATACAATTCATCATCTTAATAACTAAAATTCACCAAATTCATTTAAACTTATAAATATAAACAAATTAAATTTAAAATTGCCTCATTAATAATTTGTCACTATAAATTATACACGATAAGTAATATATAACACTTTTGCCCTCTAGTGTTGAAGGTTCAAGTGATATAAATTGTACACGATACGTAATATAACACTTTTGCCCTCTAGCGTTGAAGGTTCAAGAGAGCTCCTCTAGGTTTTCCTCATTTCCATCTAACTGGAATTAGTTAATTTGGGTAAAAGTAAAAATATGAGGAGCCCTCCACACGTTCGTGGGCAAGCCGCCACGTACTTGCACGATTTATTTACATTGTCAAAAAATTTGAAGAAAAATTTAAAAAAATAAAAATATGTTCAAAACATTTTTCTATCATTTCATAAAATCAAATAGTTTAAAAACTTTTTTTTAGTTAAATTTGTACATTGACATAATTAATGATCATTATCAATATTAATGAATTTTACTTTTACCCTTTTGCCTTTTCTTAGAATGAAATTTTTTATTTTTTGATAAATATATGAATAAAAATACCCTTTTAGCCTAAGGAAAAAGAAATAATTATTTTTAAATTTAATATTTTTTTTGAAAAATATTTATTTTTGGCGTGCAGTAATAATTGTAATGTAATTTACTATCTTATGAGAATTTCTTTTTTTTTATAAAATTTATTTTTTTTAGTTATATTACATTTACCTAGTGTTGGTAAACTTCTCGTTTTGAGGCCATTTTTTATAAACGGCTAATCCATTTTTTAGCCAGAATGTAGGGTTAGGGTTAAGGGTTAGGGTTAGGACCTTTGTTCCTTCTATGAACAAAATCTTTAGACTTGTATTTTTTGGAAGTAATACAGAGTTAGCCGTTTCTAAATATCGGCTCAAAACAAGCCGTTTAAAAAACACTACATTTATCCTAAAAAATATCTTACAAACCCATCAATAAAATCAAAGATGATAAATTTAAATATTTTTTTGATAACCGCGCAACTCCAGGAATGTTCAGCTGAGGGGAATTTTTTGATTGGATGAAATATAAAATTAAATAAGTAATCTGAGCTAAAGAAGTAGGATTTAAAAAAATTAGTGGGATATGGGTTAGGGTTAAGTGTTAGAGTTTAGATCGATTTTTTAAAAAAATTTATGTAATAAACTGTCAAAATCTGATAAGTCACGTGTTTATAAATACGCGGATAAAAATTTAAATAAATCAGCTGTTTTAACGACAATTCCATCGAGAATCCCGTTATTATCTTCTAAAATAAAATCAGATAGTTTCATTCCAAACTGACGCCAAAGGAATAATACGTATAAAGTATTCGCAAAATTTTGCCGCTTCTTGGACCGGTTTTCGAGTTTTACCCGATTTTTACGCTTCTTAAACCGGTTTCCGAGTTTGACTCGTTTTTTACGCTTCTTAGACCGGTTTTCGAGTTTGACCCGATTTTTACTTCATAGAATATACCCCTAAAATTTTATCCATTTTTTTGTTAAGGCAATACTTGCTGCATCTTAATTACCATATGGTAGTATTTTATGCAAATTTATCGAAAGCACCAATGCGACTAAATGAATAAATTAAAAATCCCTTTTTTTTAAAAAAAAACTAATAATTTAGGAAATTCAAAATGTTTCCCATAGCGTGTTCCCTGCTGGTCACCCAGATATCCGCCATTTTGATCTTGGGCATGCCGGCCGAATTTTACACCAGGGGCGCTCAGTACTGGGTTTACATTGTGGCACAATGGCTCGGGGTCATTGTGGCCACGCACACATTCGTTCCAGTGTTTTGCAAAGTTGGGGAGGCCTCCTCCTTCAACGTACTTTAAAAAAATATTTTTTTTTTTGGAAAAATATATTCGAATAATAAATTAAGTTTCTCGAGGTTTATAAAATTGGTTAAGCTAAATCGAAATAATTTGACTGACGTAAGTCAATCATAGTAAAGGGCTAAAGGATAATGGTTATAATAATGTAGATTTTGAATGCCCGCTATTTCTCGAGTCGGGTGATTTATTTTCCTAATTAATTATTTATGCCATCTAAAGAGAACATAAATATTCAATTTTGCAATATTTGCCTAAGAGGTATTGCCGCAAATTTTAAAGAAATAAATGTGTTTAAAAATAAAATCAAGTACATTCAACAACGGTTCCACTCACCCACCCTGAGAAGCTATTGCGCTCTGACATTCGTTTTAACTCAAGTGCCATCTATTATTAATTTTTTAATTTTTTTTTTTTATAAAACAAAATAAATATGAATATCACCAAAAAAAAGTGTTGTTATTTATTAGCCAGAGTTTGGAACACCCGAAACTGGAAGCTAATCTGAAAACCGGAAATGCGGAAACCGGAAGTCGAATCAGAAGCGAATCTGAGAGCCGAATTTAACAGGAACCGAGCCTGAAGCATATTCAGGAGCCGGAAATAGAGACTACTTTTTAAAAATTCAACACAAGCCGGCAACATTTTTAAAAATTTACCGATACCGGATATTGGGCCACCTCTTCGAAAATATGCCCCGAACCGGAAATACTTTTTTTTCTTTTTTAGCTCAGGTTTCCCAGAACTCCTTACGAATATATTTTTTTAATGTAAATTTAAAATTCAAAATTAAAAAAAGCTTTTGTACGCGTCGGTAGTGCTGTTCGCTCCTTGCCTGGCCATCTCTCTAAGTAAACTAATTATAAATATCTAACCGGAAAGCGTATAGCGGGGGTTAATTGACCTAAGCGTATAGAGCGGGGTTAATTGGGAGTCAAACGAACGGGTTTACTTATTTAAAGAGAATGAAAATTCAATCTTAATAACCCTAACCCCTTCCGTTTGTTCGAATTTTATTATTCGGGCAAAGTCGGGCCGGATTTTTACGATCTGGCTATTTAACTCGACCCGGCTATGAGAGAAAAATTTTTACAGTTCCAGTTATGTCTTAAATATATTATTCCTTTAAGAAAAAAAAAGTGATTCGGTTTTTAGGACCAAAAAATGACAGAATTTTTGAAATAAAACAGGAAATAGGAAAATAATTTATGGATCACGTGACGATATGGAAAGGAAAGAAAGGGGGATTTATCATCGTATCATGTAGTTTTTTTAAAAAAAAAATAAGGAAAAAAGGGGAATGAGATTAATTATGAAAAGGTGACATTAAATATAACCACGTGATATATTTCGTTTCGAAATGGATCATTAACCACGTGATATATTTCAAAATGGAGCACACATATATAAATATAGGTTAGAAAACCAAGGATGTTTTAGTATTTTATAAATATTAACATTCAAATTTTTGTTCATTGTTTTCGAGCCCTTATATAGAGAGATGCACTGGTATCGCCTTATAAAACCCCGCACGGTATCCGCGACCCTGCCACGCATATAGTACGCGTAGAGCGTCGAATTTTTGAAAGATTAGAAAGAGAGAACGTTTACTAGAATATTTCCCACTCATTTTTTATAGACTTTACACCGTATTGTAAGCCATATCGAAAAAAAATGTCTATATAATCTTTCTATTTATTCACGAGGAAAAAGTTTTTATTACATTTTTTTTTGTTAATTGTTGAAAAAAATAAAATAAAATTGGCCAAGATAACTAAAAAAAATAATTTTTTTAAATTCACGAACTTGGCACGAAAAAACTTTGCCGAAATCCGGGTTGTGCCAATGGAACCAACATAAGAATTGAATGATTCAATTCCAAATTTTAAACAAACTGAGCGTTTTTACGTACCGCGCGTTACATCGTACCTCAAAATATTTTTATCGACAAACCAATGTTTCTGTGAAATGCAACTGCCACATGTCGCTCTATATGAGCAATTTTTTTTTGCCATCTCCTAAAATCTCTAATGGCTTTTTTTTTTCTCGGCTTCCCCATATAAGGGATCGAAAAAAAATAATATTTGAAAGATGACTTGTCAAAGATTGTCACAAATTATAAGACGAGATTCTTTATTTTTGTGTATCGAAAATCCATGTCGAAAATATACTAACCAAACCAAGTATTTGACAAATATATTTTTTTTTGCCTAGAGGGGGTAGGGGGGGGAAGTGGAATTAATAAAAAATTATCATGATTATAGATAATATATATTAAGATAAGAATGATTAATTTCTCGCGCCAAATTAATGACAAAAAAAATCTGCAACCAAACGTGACATTTAAAAAAAAAAGATGACGAAACCTTTAAAGAACTAATTTTTTTCTAAGTCCCCTGGAAAAGCTCAGCTATTATTTAATTGATTCCAAAAAGAAAAGAAAAATTCAGTGTAGGAATCTTATTTTTTTTCTAGATGATGCAAAATTTTTTTTCATCTTTCCAACTATATTATTCGAAATAGAAAGTGTTTAATTGGGAAACACGTGTCAAGAAAAAGGTCAGTAAATTGAAAAAAAAAATCGATAAAAACAAAGTGACGAAAGAGGTACTACATTGGAAAAACAAATGATCACGTGGGTCTAATTAGTTGATTTGTCCCACCTCGGATGTCTCATCGTTTCTGATCTGTTGCCCCCCCCACCCCCCAGTGAAATTTTGGGAATAAAGAGACGAATCTTTCGCTCGAAAGGTCCGCACGTGGATTTAAGAACATTTGTCCAACTATTCCCGCTTCAGTGCCCCGCAATTGAGAGAAGTTTGGTCTAGATTAGAACTAAATCGATAATTATTTAGAGATCGTGGGAAGCCAAGTCCTTCATGAGGCTTAGTGATCATTTTTGGGTGATCGGGTAATGATTTCGGTTAAAATTGAACGTATTCCCCTCTCCCCGAACCCCCTCGAATTCCTGTGCATCTCTGTTATATAACATTATGCACTATATTTGCTTTTACTTAATACTACAGTGATCTAGACATTCCATTTTAGTAGGAAATTATTAGAATACATTTATTTACGCCATCTTGTAACTGTAACTCGTGTACTCGTAAATATGTATATATATTTATTTTTTTTATCCGCCAGTGGTTCCGATACCGATAAATACGCTGCTCTTGATAATAGGCGGAATTTGCACCTTTTACACGGCCATAGTAAGCGGCAACGGAAATTATATTTATACTAATAGTTCTTGGAATCAGAGACCTGCCCCGGCTGGGGTTTTAATTTTTTTTTAAAAATATACCCGCGGGCCATGCAAATGATATCTCCTGGGGTCCCTGATATATATATTATACAGTAAAGACCTCATTTATAGTAAGCGCGATATCGCTCGAGGGATGCGTATTATTTATCGCTAAACAATAACGCAGCTCTATTATTTGGCATTATATGAGCGACGTCGCGATACGCGCGCTTACTATAAATGAGGCCTAAATCTAGCATAACCAGGCTAAGATTTCGCTATCGGTGAATACAAGTCAGCTGGTGACGCCATTTTGAACGTGAGAGTTTTCACGAATTTTTTTTCAATTATTAAGTTTTGTTTTAAATATAAATTATTTATATACGGGAAAGTAAAATGGCGTCACCAGCTGATTCACATCGATACGCTGAGCGAAATCGTCGGTCTGTAATTATATATAAATACCCAGGGACCCCTACAAAGGTCAAAATTTTAGGCCCGGTCCGGATTTTAAAATTGTTTTTGAAGAATTTGTATCGACCCGGATTTTCTAAGCCCGATCCCGGTTTTAAATTCTAATTATTTTTTCGGCCGGGTTTTCGGGTCGGATTTCGGGTTGGGCCCGCAAGTCTCCGATACAAATATTAATTCGTAAATAGCGGATGCCATTTTGAAATTGGATCGATATCCTTATATATATATTTTCGCAGGGCGGTTTTAAGACGGTTATAGCAACGGATCTCTTCCAATTCCTCGTAATCTTCGCGGCTATCATCGGACTCATGATCAAAGTTTTTAAATTTTTATGGTCGCACAAATCGTGACATTTTGCCACTTTAAAAAAAAAAGAATAATTTTTTTAAATTAATATTTGAATTATTCTATTTTGCGACCTTGTTTATATTTGTTTTTAATCTCTCATTATTTATATTATTATTTATTTATTTTTTTTCCGTGAAGGGGATAGTTGAAGTCGGTAGTATCAAAAAAGTGTACGGCATAGCCGGAGAACTCGGACGGTTAGGAGAGACATTCGAGTAAAAACCCGAAGAATATATATTTATTAAATGTTTCATGGGTGGGATTCGGCGCAGTTTAGCGGGAGTTTTTTTGAAGACCTGATTTCCGGAATCGAACTCCGGGCATTTGTGTATTCTCCCCCCATATTTGAACTAGGATTTTCGCGGCAAAATTTGCGCTATTCTTAGGATAGGTTTATGTGCCATGCACGCTTAACACATTCACGTGCACCTTAAATTTTAGGTTTTACAGATACTTTTATGCCCTTAATTCCCCAACTTCTACAAAATCTAAATTTTTCTAAGTATAAAGAAAGTAGGAAAAAAAGCTTATACAAAAGGTTTTAAAGGATTGATCGAGTAATCTTTTCAAAGGAATTGTTTCTAATTAGCCAGACTTTCAGATTTTAGGGCTTTTGTCATAAACGGGTCACTTGATTACCTATCAATCAAAATAAAAGTATGTTTATACCAATGACCTAATATGATTAATTTGAATTTCAAAAAAAAAATAATTATCTAACAGCTTCAATCCTGATCCCACCAGGTATCAAAGCGTTTGGACCATTTTTCTCGGCATATTCTTCCTAACACTACGTTCTTACGGTATATACCAGCCATCCGTCCAAAGATACGTTTCCATGCCCAACTTTAAGCGGGCAAAAAAGTTATTTTTAATTTATTTTTTATATTTAACGTGGTTTTCAAGTAGTGCTATAAACGTTACTATCAAAAAAAAAGAAACGCATTACCGTTACTTTAAGGTATCGGAAATTAGTAACGACGTTACTTTTTTGACTTCACAGCACTTACTCTCAAGTGGTATTGTTAAACGGCTCGTTTTGAACCGGTTTTTAAAAACGGCTAACTCATTATTTCATCTAGAAAAAATATTGCGCAAACCCGAAGATTTTTCTCATAGAAGGAATAAAGGTTCTGACATATATTAACGTAATCTCGAGGCTTCGACAAAATTTTTCTGACTAAAATATTGAGTTAGCCACAACACTACTCTCAAGTGTATACTTATTAACTTAACCCCTTTAAGTATTTCCCGAATTTTCTCCCATATATTTTACTTAAGGACAAACTTTTGAACAAATAGATACTAGTTTAAGTGTATTAATTTACCTAATTTAGCATCCATCACTTCTATTTTTTTAAAATATATATATCTTATTCCCTAAATTTTCCCCTTATACCGATGAACATGTTTTACTCTTGAAATCAATTCGTTACTTAATTACTATCATGTCATTAGTATCCCTTTTATACCCCATCAAAGTGTCAATGTATTGGCGTCCAATATCTTAGGAGTTCCTAGAAGACGAGGCATCTGGGGCAGAGTTTTTAACGCATCTAAATATATAAATGATGAATATGTATCATCTTTGTAAAAGATACAGATACATTTGGTATATAACTTTATTTTGCACTTGTTTTTAAAATTTATTTTATAACAATGGATGACGAAAATTTGGTTGTAATAATGTTATTAATACATTAAAATTTTTTTTACATAAACTAATATTTTAATACTATTGACGAAGAAACAATCAGCAAAGCATCAAAAAAAAGTTTTCAAACTTAATTGAACTTATTTAAATTATATATTTTATATATTATATGAAATATCGAATTGAATAAAAAAATTGTTTGGTTCAATAATAATTAACAATTCCAAGTTTTAATAGAAGATTTTCAATTTTTGGCATTGTGTCACACCTTGCATGGTTTATAAATAAAAAATATATCTTAAATGTATCTCGTAAAATGGTATTTGTTCGAGATACATTTTTAGCCCAATGTATCTGTATCTCGATACATTTAAAAATATAACTGCTCTGGGTACAGTAATCTTAATCATAATTCACTCCTATGATTGGAACCTAGTTCATATTCACTCTCCTTTTTATATACTATATATATTTTATATATTTTTTTTTTGGTTGGTGGATGGGGGTTTTAGGAGTATTTTGATAGTTCTACCCATGCAACTCATCCTTATATTCGTTTTGAGCACCCTGGGGTTCGTCATGTTGGCCGCTTACAAATTTTGCGATCCTCTCACCCTCAAAATAATAACTAAAAAGGATTTGGTTTTTTTTTAGAAATATATATTACACATTTACAATATTCAGAGACCTGTAAAGGTACAACTTGCACGGCACGGCCCGGCCCGGATATCTTAAGGCGACATTAAATCGGGGAGGGCAGAGATTGAGCTATCTTTTAAAAACACTTCGGTAATTAAGGCAGTTAGCCACAGAAGTAACTCTTTTATCAACATCTCAATGACATGTAATAATATGTAGACTTAACGATACATTCATAATAATGCATTCGAAAGCGTCGTTGAATGCAAATCAGCTGGAGCCGCCATTTTGGTGACCCGTAGTAATAATTATTCTCATGTTGAAAACTACCATTAAAATTAAAGTTTGCGTCAGAACATAGGAATAAAATTGGCCTCTCGTTTAAAAATTTTTTTAAAAAATGATACGGGTAACCAAAATGGCCTCCCCAGCTGTTTTCATTTGATGTACACCTTATATGTCATTGCAACAACCATAATATTAAAAGGCCCCCATTTTATCTTTTTTTTTATTAGCTTCTATCCGTATTCGCGATGCAATCATTCCAGAAGATCAAAGGATTAAATGGATTATTCCTGGCTTGTTTGTTCAGTGGATCTTTAAGGTACGGAAAAAAATCTTACTATTTTCAGTGAGAGAGAGATAGAAAATAAATGATTGATTTGTATACAGGGTTAATTTTTTTTGGGTTTCATCGATTGTTGTGCCGCTACTAGGAACAATTAGGCGAGAAATATTTTTAAAGTGCTTAAATTTTGTTAGAGGGGAAAGGGGCAACACGAAATAAAAAAAATGGTTGCTATCATTATGTATCATAGAATCCATTTTTTAAAACAACTAAGCACTCTGTCTTCCAGTTTCAATTCTCTGGCTGCCGTCACTTGGGAAGATTTCACGATTCCACTCTTCCCTAAATTCGCCAACAGGATCATGAAGAGGAGAGGGTTTCCTTCTTTAATTCCCGCATTTTTAGGTATTCAAATATTAATACTCAACCCCTATTCCATGGTACATCTTACCCCTTTGGTTTTTTTTTCGGGGAGGGAAGAAAGTCGAGTAACAATTGTCATCTAGGTTTTACCCGGGGGGTGGGGTAGACGTCCGCAACTGGCGGTCTAAAAAAATATTAAACAATGCCCGGGTTGGGCGGACCAAAAATATTTTTTTAAACCCCTCAGGTGTGCCGGTTGGATTTGAAATGTTTTAGGAATGGGATTAGACTTTTATTTATTGTGGATAGCGCCATTTTTAATTCAATTTGGCAAAATTTTAAAGTTTGGCCCACGAAATTTGGCGGGAGAACTTATTCGGAAAATAAATTTTTTAAAAACTTATTTTCAATATTCGGTTAAAACTTAGAATTAATACTCTTCAAAGTAAAACGACTACAAGGTAATATGTGCCATATTGTTTAAATCAACCCGGATACCAACAGTATGTCGATCCTGCCGATATCCGGTTCTAAGGACCAATAGGCACGCTATTGCACGTGTTATTTGTTAAAAAATATGTTTGAACACCAAAAACTTGATTTTTTTTTCGAATATATTTTTATAGCCATGTCATTCGGGTTGATAGTGATTGGAATATCGTTCTTGGCTCAAAATGTCGAAGGAATTCTTAACGTAAGTTAATCATTTATGTGATTTCTTTATCCTTTATACATGAAAAACAGGCTGCTCTCTTTGCTTTGAGCGTATTCGGGGGTCAAGCACTAGCCGTATTTTTCCTGGGTATGTTCGTTAGATCCGCTAATTACAAAGTAAATAATATAATTTTTTTTGGTATTACTTAAAGTACCTAATTTCGATAAACGCGCCAAAATAGGTTTTTAAAGGATTTGTTTGGGAAATTTGAAAATAATTAGATTTAGAAATTCCTTCACCTTTTTTTTCTGCCATTTTAAATCCCCTGTTATAATTTTATTATGATTAAGCCATTTATCATAGGGATTTTTTTTGTTTCCTTTTTTCATTCCTCGTGAAAGATGCCATTTATATATATTTATTTTTTTTTAAAAAAAAATATTCGTTTAGGGGGTTATAACTGGTAAATTTGTAGCCGACCTATTCTGCGTTCTCATAACTTGCGGGTTTATGAAGTACGGTAAGTTGATAGTCCCCCCTTATTTACCCGTAAATACGACTACCTTTCCCACATCGCTCGACAATTTAAACTATAGTTTGGGCAATCTAAGTCACGCGAATGATTCGAATCATCTGTTCAATTTAACCGGCACTTCCTATTGCCACGCGTTTTTTATAAAAGACGGCGATCGAATGCGTTACGATTACGATCGCATCAAAGCGGATTTCAATAAGACTGGCGGTGTAGGTGGCGGACTTTATAACGATTCAATATTTTTAACCGTTAACGCTCTTAATCGTTCAGGTGTTCATTTTTATTTACACTTCAGTTCAAATGTTTTTAAATATTTTATTACAATGCTTCCAGATACACATTAAAGGAACTAGTTACATTGTAAGTTATTTCAACATTTATTATTTGCTAATTTCTAAATTTTGATTCAAAGAATTTAACTGAAATGAAATTAGCACTTAATAAATTTTTATTTGAACTTTATTAAAACAATAAACTACTACTGTTAACAACAATAATTTAGATACCAACGAGATGTTCATGACTCCTATTGGAAACGGGTTGGGAAATTTCATCTTATTGTAAGTTAAATACCACGTAATTATTATACTTACACAACAGATACAAATACAGATACCATAATTTTCTGATTTTCTTGCATCTTTTTATTAAACTATAAATATATATAAAATTAATAATTTAGGTTTAAGAAGGTAATTAAATGTATACACCTTGAGGATAATAATAAAGAAAAATGGTTACAACTTTTGAATTAATTTTAAAATTTTTAACCTCCTTTTTACTAAAAAAAACTGTATAAATAAGTAAACTGTACTCGATATCTTATCTGCTGTTGACACCTCTTGGCTTCCTGATCTGTACTTTGATCGGTATACTTGTCAGTAAAGTAACGGGTAAATGTATTTTTTTTGATTAATAAAGTAACTACATTCAGATACATTTCATTAAAAAAGTAAAAAGTATCGGGATAAAGTTACATATTAAAAATGTACCTTTTAACAACTCTGGTATTTATATATTCAATGAATCGGTCATGGATAGTTTCTTAAATCGATCACAGATTTTTTTTATTAAGGGAAATATAAAGTATCTGTAATGTAGGGTACGCTTTTTATAATGATCCACTCTTAACGCCACCCTTTATAATCTTTTAAAATCGAAACCTTTCCGGCGAGAATATTATTTTGAGTCGAATTATTATAACCGTACTATTCGGGTCCGATCAAACTCGAATTACATCGGATTCGGACCGATTAATAAGAATTAGAATCGAATTCGGATCTTTAAAAATTGATCGGGTCGGTGGACACTATTTTTTAACGGACCGCTCTTCTAGTATATTAATATGTATTATTGTATAATTTGTACTCGCGCATAATTTAGGCGGAGTCGAAAAAGATAAAAACTTGAAGTACGACTATTACAAGTTACTGCATCCTTGGTTACTTCGACAAGAATATACTCACGAATGAATGAACGAATCTAATCACACCCACAAAAATATTGGAACATATGATTTATATATTTTTTTTAGAAATAGATTATTTCTATTTTAGATAATTAAATTGCTCAATTTCTTAAATCCTTACAATGTCTCACTCTTTCTCCCTCTAGGAAATGTTAATTTTAAAAAAAAATTATTTATAAAATATTATATGTATTTGTAAAATAATCATAAATCAACAACCATACTCTTATTTTAATAACTTATAATAATATATTTATTTTATATGTTAGTCAATTATATATATTTTTGTAAACTTTTAAGCAAAATGTATTAGAATTTATTTTTTAAAAAAATTATTATTATTATATGCCCCTTTATTCATACTTGGTGTTGTTAAACGGCTAACTCAATATGATATCCGGAAGATGATTTTCTCATAGATGCCACATAGGATTGAACATCTATTGGCGGAATCTCGATATAATGCCGAGTTATCCGTTTTAAAAAACCGGCTCGAATTGAGCCGTTTAACAACATTCAAACCTGCAACCGAGTAATTTTTACTTGGGAAAAGTACAGCACACCGTTATAATTATTATTTTTAATATTAACCTCTATATTAGGCGAGGCTAGATTTACTTGTTGTATACGTACCGACCCTCGAAACTGATACTTGTTGACCTGTTTTAAAATATATTTATTTTAATCTTTGGGGAATATGGATTACGAAGAGAGAAAAAAAAAATTATTGTCAAAATGTTATTTTTAGATAATAAATATTAGGTAATCGCGTAAATACGGCCTCGGAAATTTTTTAGCGTGTGCCATATTTGGCGGGGTTTATCTTTGGGTTATCAAATATCATTCGGCAACAATGTGATTTATTTGAATTGTTGACGTGGCCCTGCTAGAGTTTACTTTATAACCTTGCCAGAGATTCTAAGAAAATGTTGAGATCGCGTCAAATTCTGATCTCGTGGAATTGTTGGCGCGACTAGACAAGCGTCGAATTGACGATAAGCGTAGGGTGAAAAATCCTATAAGGTTGGGAAATAGGGATTTCAGAGTTTCTATCTGCAGTATTTGCCGCCAAACTTTATAGAATTTTCCATCTTGAGCTTATCAATCTTTTCATCTTGAATAACTTTGTATATTTTAAAATATCCAAAGAGTGAGGGAAGAAATTTATTCGAAAAGGCAAGATTCCATCCCTAAATATTTCACGCCCCTTCCTCCTATCCACGCTTAGTTTGCAGGCCCTGCTCTTTTTAACTAATCTAATTATATAAAGTGTTGTATATCTACGACGGGTATATATTTTTTAAAAAAACGATCACCTAACAGCTGTTTTGAAATGATCTCGACTTTTAATATTGAGCAGATTAATTACCATATTGTATAATAAATTCATTCCCTTTCCTTTCCTTCAAACAAAATCGTAAAATAAAAACGCAAAAATATCTGAGTCGGTTCGTCAGTTCACCGTGGCGTCAATTCGGCGCGTTTCTAATACAGCTGCAATTTATTATAAATTTAGTCAAAATATCGATCATAAAATGGAAATTTAATCTTCATTGGGATTGGGCCAATTTTTTGTAATAATTTGTTTTTTTGAGTTGGGGATCTGCTTTCGCTGGGTAAAGCTAGTCTATTCAATCAACTTTAAGATGTCATACTTATAGATTTTTATTCTTTTGCAAGGAAGAAAAGATCCTACTAATTTGGTATTGCCAAAATATATAGTATACATTAATTTTAATGTATTTGAAAAACTTATAAAAATATATTTTAAAGTATGCAATTCTTCCACTGAATTTCTTGGAGGATTATCATCTTCGGATGGTTCTTCTAGATGCAAAAATTGCTGTAACTTGATGCCGGAGGCTTCTTGTAGTGCCAGTTTTTCAGTTTCATACCAGTGTTTGAAGTTTAAAAAATGCTAAAAAAAATTTAACTTTAAATTTTCTAGATAAAATATTAATATAACAAAGAAATAAATATTCAAATTAAAAACCTTTTGCTAATATTTATAGAATAGAGTATAATCTATTTGAAATGGAAAACTTTGAATTCACAATTCATCAAGCCCTTTTATATTTTCCCAATTATTATTGGGTCAGGGATTTCTTCCTATACCTCCCCCACCCCCGCTGGCTAAGCTCCTGATCTGTGTTACCTGAGTTCTCATAATCATGCAAATTTTGTCAAATACAAATCTCTTGAGTAATTATACATTTATTATTGTCTTTAATAAATGAGAACGGATTGTTATTAATATTAGCTGGATGATTGGGAAGCAGTTCATTAATAATTTGGCTCTTATCAAAACATCGCTCAAAAAATATTTTGAAACATTTTTTGCTATTCAAATTATTTATTTTTTTTTTTTTAAATACAAGTTTGTCCAAGGTTTCTCCTAAATATAGTTTTTTTTAATGAAATTTGTTATTTTGAAGTTCATCTTGATGTGTGACTTCCTTTGTCTTTTGGGACTTTAAGGATATGAAAAGTAAAATGGAATAGCTTTTTCCCATAATAACAGATGCTTGCAATCTTCAAATAATTGATTCGATTAGGTTTACCACGAAGGATTGTACTTCTAATCTGATTCACCGGGGTATTCTGGATAATGCTGGGGGTGGAGGAAGTCTCAAGGCAAGAATTCAAGCCCATGAATGATCTAGATCATTTAAAAATAATTAAATTTTGAATTATTTGCTATCGCAGAATTATGTTTGAATATTAATACTATCAGGAAAGTTGGTTAAATTTATATAAAAGTTATTAGATGATGATTTCATTTTCTCCTCCTTATAACATATATTATAACCGCTTTCCCTCATTTAAAGCTAAATCTTAATTAATTCATGATCAGTGTTTTTTGCTGACAGGAATTATGGAATTTACTTTAATGTCTTTACCCTATTAGACATTCATTTAAAAAGTCCAAATCTTGGTCTTCAAGGAGCCCACATAGACATTTTCGAGGGATGATGTACATATATTACTTGTATAAAATTATACTGTTATTTCAATTATTCCAAGTTAATCTTTTTAGAGTGCCTTAGTTATTTCCTATTTTGCTCTCTATTCAAGCACGCAAGTTATTTGAATATCTTTTTTTAAATGATAGTTGTAAAAAATCTTGACTTTTTTCTAATGAGAATCTCAAGATCATCATTCATACAGGATTCTAACGATAAAAATAATAACATATATAGCGGGGGGGGGGGATATTTTTTTGCAAGGCAGAGCGCTAAAGTGTCCCTCGCGTTATTCCACCAAAATGTTTCATCTATTTAACTAATTTTATCGGGGCTTCCCTTATCGAAACGATCCATGCTTTTAAAATAAAACCCGTCTGTTCCTTTATATTTTACCATTAGGGTTCTTACTAAATTTCTATCTCCATTAAGTTCTTCCCATTTTTTTCCTTAGTGTGAACACGTACCTCTTCTATACGTTTCCTTCCATTCCTTTCACGCAACCACATCAACTCTTTCGTAAATACACCTACGTAGCACTGGTGTCTTCAAACATTGACTCCCAAAAAGTAAGGCATACAATAAATTCCTCATTGTATCCTACCAGTTAAACATGGAGCGACGAAGAATCATAACCTTAATAAATCACTTCTATACTGACCGGCGTTATGTAATTTGTCATATATGTTCTTAATAGTAAGTATATTGCCATTTCTGAGAGACTTGACTAGATTAATTAAATGATGAAAAATCCCCGGAAAAGGATTGTTAAATAATATTAAATATAATCTAAGTATATCCAAAATCTTACAGAAGAGATTAAGTTTTATGACCAGGACAGAGCAGTCCATATCTCAGTCAATAACTTGTTTTGAAATGAATCAAGTGCTCGGATTCCAATTCTGTAGAGTTTTTTTCAGAAGATCCAAACCTTAATAAAAACAACTTTTTGGATAGTCAAAGGTCTCCAGTTAATGATCTTATAGTATATAATTAAGAAATCTTATTACCAGAACTTTGATGCTGAGTATATTTTAGATTAAACCAAATACTAAGCTAGAGATATTTGGCACTAATTTCGCGTATGGTTATTCAAAATCTTTTGACTCAACCATATTCCCCTAGTTAATATTGTTTACCTTTAATATAATATTATCACTTCTCCTTTTTTTAGTGTTAATAATCCTCCGCACGTTCCATTTTTTGCTTTTCATGTTCTTTCTAATTTATTTCTAAACCTGGGGAAAACTGGGAGGCAGAAATATTAATCGCTTCATTAAAGTCTCAAAGGGTAATCCTGGAACGAAGGATACGCCAGCCTGAAGATTTTGCTCATGGAAGGAAAAAAAATGTCTCTAGACATATATTATCGTAATCTCGAAGCTTAAGGCAATCATTTTTCTGGCTAAAATATTGAATGAGTCCTTTAACAACACTAGAAGGAACCCTCTTAGTATATGCATAAACATGATCCTATTCTAATTGAATTTTTTTTATATTAGAGTCATCAGGAGGTAAGCGACAATTGTATTTATATTCTGGAGGAGGAGGGGGGGGGGGCATTACATTAAATATATATATATACACTTTAATAGGAATAATTATATTATTGGCCCAAATGGGATGACTTATTGTCGTTTTGAATATAGATTCTTGGCATTGTGAGAATAAAGTTACTGTCTACAAAAAAAAGGACCGAATCTAATCTATGGAGAGTGACGATGTAATGGCTGCTTTGCTTTCTCATCTTCCCCTTCTGAGTCCGCTACTTCTCTATAGCAGACGGAGAAAACGATTGCTCGTTAATACGGAACTAGAGAATGAGCCAACACGCTAAAGAATCATTACTACATTCCTAATATTTAACAAGTCATGAGAGCTTTTTATAAAACTTATAAAAGAAAAAATTGAAATTACTTTTTTAATTTTTGTATATAGCATGCTAAGTAAAAATAAATATATAATTTAACTTAGTTTTAAGAATTCTGTTGAACAATGTGGTTAATCTCTCCCCCCCCCCCCCGTTAATTGCCATAAAAACGACAAAAAAAAATTATTATAATTATGAAGGTGACATAAGTTGGACTTAGAATTATCAATTAATTATTGTTGAGAAAGACATTTTTTTTACTATTAAATTTCAAAAAAATTTTTTACCGCCAAAATCAAAACTAGATTAGCAGAATCCTAGCAAAATTGACATATTATTAAAAATTTAAAAAATTCC